CCCTTTTGACCGAACCAAATTAATGTGCGTCTTTCCGCTGATTCTGTTCGTAGAACGACTTCCATTAAATGCACATGACGATTAACGATTAAAGATCTAGAAAATCAATGTTTCGCTCCAAAATAAAAAAGTGTCGTCACCACGTTGCATAAAATAAATGTGTATACAGGTAACCTTCGAATATTATTATCAGATTTTTCCATAAAAAGAATCATTCAGATTTTTAGAATCAAAATTAGAGGTGTCATCACGAATTTTTTGTTTGTTTGGATAATTTATTGTCACGATCTTTGCAAGTATGGTAAAAAAAAAAATTCTAATGAGCAATAAGTGTTGTTGGTTAGTGAAAACCTAGTGTGAAGGCTAGTCTGAATGCTATATTTACTCTCTCTTGAAGTTGTTGTTACCGTTGGAGTTTTGTCTTTGGTCCTTTAGTAGTTATATGGTCAAAGGCAGTGACTCTGTTCGAAGCAGAAGGTTTCAACTACAAAGAGTAAAGCAAACACAAAGTCCGAATTAGAAGGTCTTATAGATAAGATCCTTTAATTCATCAGGACCACATCTCTCTCTATATGCAAGCATTGCAAGATCGTACAAGATTCTTGAAATCGTGGAGGAGACAAGAATTTATACAGTTGATTTATTTTTTTATGTTTGTCGACTTAATATTCAGTTTCGTCGACTTACTTTAAGCTGTTGACTTATATTTTGATTGATTGATTTTTTACTTTGTCGACTTGTTTAACCATTGACTTATTTTTTTAGTTTTGTCGATTTATTATTAAGGTTCATCGACTTATTTTAAACTGTTGACATATATTATCGTTTACTTGATTTTTTACTTTGTCGACTTATTTAACCATTGACTTAATTTTCAGTTTTTGTCGATTTAATTTTCAGTTTCGTCGACTTATTTTTAACTGTTGACTTATATTTCGTTTGATTGACATTTTAAATTATCGACTTATTTAAACCACTAACTTACTTTTGTAATTCGTCGACTTAAATATTTTTTTTGATCGATTTATTTTAAACTATCGATTTATATATTGGTTGATTGACTTTTTACTTTGTCGGTTTATTTAAACCATTGACTTAATTTTTATGTTCATCGATTTGACATACTATTATATATGACAAAAAAATTTATTAGATTATTAGATAGATGATATATTAGTTTTACATATTATAAATCAATTTTAAATAAAAATTAAGAAAATCAAATCATTTTTTTTCTATCTTAATCTTGTTAAGTAAGGATAGAACCATCATTTCAACCCTTAAAATATGGTACTTTTCAAAGTGTAACAAATTTAGTATAGATTTCAAATTTTCAATAAGATTTAGGGTATACAAGCCAATTTTTCC